AAAAAACAGCGGGGGTGGTTGGTCCTCGGGGGTCGCAGCTAATCGCCACTTGAGCCGATATTGACGGAGAGGTACCCAGGCAAGGCCGCAGAGGCATGCCGCCGACCCCAGTGCAAGAGCAGTGTTCGCTGACACTTCCAGCAACCGTCGCATGCGTTGCGACACCCGCAGGGCCCCCAAGGAGAGAGGCGGGGGGAAAGGCGCGCCTCCCCTCGGTCAGGCCCCCTCACTCGTGGGATCGGCGGCGCACCCGCCGAGCTAGGACAGAGCCTGCTGCCATTGACCGCTCGTCACGCACACTCAGATCCCACTGCTGTGACAGGTCACGTAGGGCCCCGATGCAGCCTGCTGCTTTTGCCGGGCAGCGACAGGGCCTGCTGTCAGTGCCCACCCTTCTCGCACCTGATCCCGGCGCTGCAACTGAAGACAGCGGGCTCCAAATTAGCTTCCCACATCCCGGCAATAGCGCCGGAGCATGTGGATCTCAAGTTATTGGATGGTGTCTCCGTCTCCGTTGCACCGACAGCACCGGGATGCAAGAGTACCCTGAGCCCCAAAGGGCGGACACGAGCCCGAACGGCTCACACCCCAGGGAGGACAGCACCTGGATGCAAGAGCCCCTTGAGAATCCGCGGGACACACACCCGGATCCCACTGCAGTCACAAATCACGTTGGGCACCAAGGCCACCTGCCTCCTTTTGCTGGGCGGGACTGAGCTGCTATCAGTGTCCACCCTACACGCACCTGTTCTCAGCGCTGCAACTGATGACAGTGGCCACCGTGAAGACGAAGCGTGCGCGGGGGGGAGGCGAGTGACGGCCATTGGCTGCCAGAACCGGGATGCAAGAGTACCTTGAGTCCCCGAGGGGGGCCCAGGGCCCATGGTCCCTGCAAAGGGGGGTCGCAGAAGATCGCCGCAACGATCTCTATTTGAGGGTTGGTGTCTCCGTTTGTTGGTCCGCCAACTCTCTTCCATTTCCTCGGGGGTCGCAGCAGATCGCCGCTAGGACCACTATTTCATGGCGGGTGTCCCGACTGTTGGTCCTCCAGGGTCGCATCAATCCGACGCAGATGTGAACCTGCAGGGTGACCAGACAGGGGGGGTGGTTGGTCCTCGGGGATCGCAGCTAATCGCCGCATGAGCCTGTATGCTGCTCCTGAAGCTGCTGCTGCTGCTGCTGCTGCTGCTGCTGCTGCTGCTGCTGCTGCTGCTGCTGCTGCTGCTGTTGCCGTCGGTGCTGCTGCGGCTGCTGCTGCAGGGGCTGCTGCTGCGCAGCTGCAGCTGCCGCGCTGCTGCTGCTGCTGCTGCCGTTGCGGCGGCTGCTGCTGCAGCTGTTGTTGCTGCTCCCGCCGCTGAGCTGCTGCTGCTGCTGCCGCTGCCGCTGCTGCTGCTGCTGCTGCTGCTGCTGCTGCTGCTGCTGCTGCAGGTGCAGTTGCTGCCGCAGCTGCTGCGCGGCCGCGCCGGCTGCCGCCGCCGCCGCCGCGGGCGCCGCCGCCGCGGCGCCACCGCCGCCCGCCGCCGCGCGCACGCCAGCCTCCAGGCGGGAGGCGGCGGCGGCGGCGGCGGCGGCAGCGGCCAGCGCGGCAGGCCAGGCGGCCCGCCGCAGACAGCGGCAGCCGGGCCTGCGGCCGGCGGCAGCAGCAGCAGCCGGGGGGGGGCGGGCCCGGGCAGGCGGCCCGCCGCGGGCGGCGGCAGCCAAGCCCGCGGCACCACCGCCGCCCGCCGCCGCTGCACGCCAGCTTCCGGGGGGGAGGCGGCGGCAGCGGCGGCGGCGGCAGCAGCGGCCGGGGGCGGGCCAGGCCGGGCGGCCCGCCGCGGGGAGCGGCAGCCCGGCCCGCGGCGCCACTGCCGCCCGCCGCCGCGCGCACGCCCGCCTCCAAGGGGGAGGCGGCGGCGGCGGCGGCGGCAGCAGCAGCGGCCAGGGCGGCAAGCCAGGCGGCCCGCCGCGGGCGGCGGCAGCAAGGTCTGCGGCGCCACCGCCGCCCGCCGCCGCGTGCGCGCCAGCCGGTGGGGGGGGGGGCGGCGGCGGCGGCGGCGGCAGCAGCAGCAGCCAAGGGCGGGCCCGGGCAGGCGGCCCGCCGATGGGCGGCGGCAGCGGAGGCCAACGGGGCACGCTGGACGCGGCGCGGACCGCGGCGCAGCGTACGGGCGCCCCCTCGAGCGGTGGGAGACTGCCCCGGAGGGGACAGGCCCACCAGACGGCTTGAGCCATGGGGCTACGGAGCCTGGTGGGGATACCTTTTTGTTCGGCGGCTCCAAGGAAAAACCCAAGGAGCGGGCACAACGTCCGGGGTGCGGTACGTTGTAAATTTGCGAAACCAGCCGTCACTGTCGACAGTCGGCCGCACCTGCCAGCAAGCTCGCAATTGCACGTGCACAATACGAAATGTACTACATTCGCAGCGAGACGCATCTTAGCGTCGACTGGTGGAAACGGGTCGCGGAAGAGTGCGAGGAGTCGCCGAAACGGCGCCAGCACAAGCAAACCGACGAAGGGGGAAGAGGAGGGAGCGAAAGTGAGCGACTACCACAGGCACACTGCAGCCACACGAATACGATGTACGGCTAAAAGGCCTGCCTCATCAAGGCTCACTGAAACTGAGGTGTAACTGAACCTCGTCGACGCGCCATGCAGTAGAAAGACCACTGGGGTGGGTACGCGAGGCCGAGCCACCTCCAACCTAGCCAGTGCGTGCACATCGTATCCGACTCACGCAGTTCGGGGACACAACGAAGCGGGGTACTGACGGGGGCTGGGTGCAGGCTGCACTGCCAGGGGGAACGACCACGAACTGCAGAAGGCTGAACCACACAATGCAGGGCCGCGCCCTGCAGACACCAAACGACGTCAATGCAGGGCCGCACACTGCAAAGGCTGAACCACTCAATGCAGGGCCGCACCCTGACGACGCCAAACCCTCAATGAAGGCCGCTCCGGGTTTCACCGAAAGTATGGCTGACGGCAGCGCCCGATCCACACCTCCAGCCGGTAGCCAGTGATGCACATAGCCTCCGACTCACGCAGTTCTGGTGGGGATACGCGAAGTGTGAAGAATTCAACTGCCCGACTTGAACTCGCACCTGGTGAACTCGCACCCAGCTATGCTCGCACGCACTGCTCTCGCACGGCTGAGCTCGCGCGCGACATGCTGATCTAGCACGCACTGCACACGCAAACGCTGGTCTCACACGCGCACTCACACGCGATGAATTCACACGTACTTAACCTGGACGCCACAATTCCCACCGCTGAGAGCGGGCTTTCAACCGCGCGTGCGTGCGAGTTCAGTGCGTGAGCTCCGTGCGACATCAACTCCGTGCGAATCCAGCTCCGTGCAAGATCGGCTCCGTGCGAATGAAGCTCTTGTTCCTGGGGTCCGAACTCCCGTTGCAGGGCAAGCTCCTCGCACGAGCTCATCAAGGCACCTTCTGGCCCAGACTCCCAGCATTGCCTGTCAGGGCCATAGAAGCTCCGAGCATGGTCCAAATGGTCGTCGGTATGGTCTGGGACCCTGGGAAGGTCTGTCTAGAGCCTCCGTTTCGGAGGGCCTGGAGGCTGCCCAGGAGGCCAAACTCACAGAAGAACCTTTAGCTCGCGCATGATTTCTCAGCACTCGGCCAATTGAGAGTGCCCAAAAGATCCTACAGGGCCCCCAAGAGGGGAAAGCCCGAAGACAGCCCCCCAAGAGGCGCCACAAGCTCCGCCGAAGCCTCCAGGAGGCAATCAGCGGGAACTGGGGAGCCCCAAGAAGCAACCAAACGGCCCCCAACAGAATCGAAAGAGGGGCACCCTGCCCACGATCCATACACCGTGTCGGGATGGCCTTAACATATGCTCGCCCCGCCCCACCCAATCGTCACCCCGCACGGAAGTCTCGAACCTCGGTCCTACGCCGTACGCAGCGCTCCTACTACAACCTCGCGGCCACCGTGGATTTCGTTTGTGGGAGTCGACGGAATGGCGCACGCCTGATGGATAAACCCTGGCCAGTGGGAACAAGCGACGATAATCATGGAAGGAACGCTAGGTGAACCAGACAACTCGCATTGGCACAGGTCGGTTGGAGCGACAGAATAGAAAGATTGGTGGTCGGATATTGTTAATCCGATAGCGCATGCCCCAGGCGGCACAGACCCTGCAGTCCTCTCCATCAACTTCGGTCGAGCACGAGCTCGGTCGAAGGATCGCCACGGTACCCGAATTTAAGTTGTAGCTCCTCTGGGAAAGTTGTATGGCGCCGATCGAGCCTCGCTCGCGATGCGCCACGGCATAGCAGGGGGAATCATACTAACAGCAATCCGTCCGAGCACCTCGAAAGGCCGCCCTCACCTTGTTTTGGAAACGGGGCAACGACTGAACTACACATCATTGCGCAGAGTCGCAAAGACAATTCACGCCTCTTGGACACATCGGGTCGAAACGGTCGGGATGCGAATTGCTGCGCGGCTGTGACTGAGCTCAGGCACGGGAAGCTCTTCAAGCGAGGCGGAAGGCCACTGAAACAAAGAGGCGGAAAAAGAGGCGGAGGGCCACTGAAACAAATGAGCTGTCAAGACGGCTCCATCATAAGACCCAGTAACCTAAAGCAAGAGCCCACCTTGAACAAGACGGTGGGACTGAACCACAATTGATGAAGTGAACGGGCACGTCACATGCAATGATGGCTGCAAGTGTGCGTCCCCGGCTGGCGGTCAGAGTACTCAGCGAGTGGCGCTGCAGAAAAACGTGCCTAGCGCACTGGCATGACAGACGGATCAGGCTCATTTTCTCGTTCAGTCAACCGGCGAGCATGACTCAGTCAGTGAACGGCATCGCTAGGGGACTCACATGGCGTTCCCTCGCAAATGGGGGCGCGAAGGTCCCGCTGAGCTCAACCCCACTGGCAAAACGGCATCTTCTCGTGCCTTGCTTCGGGTTGTCTCGCGCGGCCCTGGATGGAAATCGACTTGGTTTCCTCGAGAACGGCCACGCATCTCAAACAATCAAGCGCGAGGACCCTAAGCTGGCTCCATGAAACATGCAGCCGATGATGTCTGAAACCGGCCAGGCGAAGAACGGGACAGACGGAGGAGGAGGAGGAGGAGGAGGAGGAGGAGGAGGAGGAGGAGGAGGAGGAGGAGCGGAGGCTCGGGCGCGAATGAATGGGGGGCGATGAATGGGGGGAGAGAAAGGTGCCCTTTTCGGGCCGTCAAGGCCCCCTTGGGGCCCGAAAAGGGCCCGTTTAGGGACCCTAAAAGGCCCCTTTCTGCAGCCCTCGCTGGCCCCCCCCATCTATCGCCCCTCCGTTACGCGTCCTCCGAGAAGCGATGCGGCGCGATCCTCCTGGTACGACCTCATCTGCCCTGACTCCGTCTGCATCTGCGGGGCCCAGGTGCACCGACCTTCCGGCCTCAGCGGCTGACCGTGGTGATGGGCCCTTGCTCGCCAGCAAGCGCCCGCTGCACCGGCCTGCACCGCTGCGCCACCGACAGCGCCACTGGCAGCGCCACCGCTGCTCCCACCCGCACGGCTGCATCGCTCCACCAGCGGCGGCGCTGCGCCGCTGCGCCAGCGGCAGAACCCAGCCTCAGAGGCTCACGGCGGTGATGGGCGCGAGCTCGCCAACGAGCGCCCACGGACCCTCGGCAGGCGGCGGCTGCGCGCGCTCGGCAAGTGCCCGCAGGCCCGGGCAGGCGGCGGCTGGCGGGCCAGCAGCGGCGAGCCACCGCGGTGCGGCGAAGAAGCGCTCGGCGCCCTCGGGTGATGAAACAATCATGGCGTAAGGTTTTCGCCATGGCCTTCACCGGCCACAGGGATCGCCCAAAAAAACGACTCGGATCGGCGCCGGGCCCCCATGGCCGCGCCCCTCTGGCTCCACCCTCGGCCCGCCCCGCGCGCCATATCGAGGGGGGCGTCCGGCGCCGATCCAAGTCAGTGCGGAGCTCCAAAAGTTAATGTTTGTGCCATTGATTTGCTCGTCGAATCTCGCGAGGCCTGGCCCTGCTGGGGGGCGCCCGGCAGCGGCCGCGCTGGCTCTACACGCTGGTGGAACCCCAGCGGCTGCGCTCGGCTGCCGCGGCCAGGCTGCGCCTGCTCTGCGGGCGGGTGGTCCCCCACCAGCTGCAGCTGCCTGCCCCGCTCCATCAGCCAGCTGCGCGTCTTCTTGGAAGGGCGGACGCGCTTGAGGTCCCTGGAGTCGTGTTGGAAGTGGCAGAACGTGCAGTCACTCCCCTTCCGGCACTCTGCTTGTGCGAAGAAGAGGCATGGCTTGCAACTCCCGTGCGTATGGTCCAGGCTGCCAGTGGATGGCATCTGGTGCTGCTCTTGCTCCTGCTGCACGCGCGAGGCGTTGTGACACTGCCGCCGGTACTGGATGAGTGGATCAATCAGCTGCTGCTGCTGCTGCTGCTGCTGCTGCTGCTGCCACTGAGACCACTGCGGCTGCGGCAACTGAAGCTGCTGATGCCGCTGCTGCTGTTGCCACTGCTGCTGCCACTGCTGCTGCTGGGTCTGCTGCCTCTGTGGCTGCTGCTGATGGTGGTTGGGCGCCGCATCGTACTGCGAACTCTGCTGATGGGGCCGAGCGGCTGGTGCCCAAGTGAGGCGTGTCAAGGGCATCGCTGCTGGGCCAGGGATGAAATCCACAGCTTCGGGCGGAGGGTGCAGCTGGGGCTGAGAACTCCCAAGCGGGGCGTCGGCACCTTCGAGCAATAGCATCCGCCGCTGCATCGCGTGGGCCTCTAACAGCAACTTTCGGCGCGACGGCGCAGGCTGCCGCGCCGGTCGGTGCCGCGTCGAGTCACGGTATTGGCAGGAGCTCAGACGTGCCCGAACTGCAGCCACAATTGCTGCGTGCGGGCCAGGCGTGGAAGACCAGGGCGCGACGTAGCCCCGAGGGAGCACACACACAAACATACACACGTACACACAAACACTTCTTGGCGGCGCAGCCTCGCGCGCAACGTCGAGACGAAGGAGGTCGGAGCCGGGGTGCACGCGCGGCCGGGCCCTCGGTAGCCCGCAGCAGCAGGCCATCCGGGCGTGGATGGCGGGGAGGTGGCACGCCGCCCACCGCAGGACCTCTCAAGCGGGGCGTAGGGCGAGAGCGTAGTGAAGAGGCATAGCCATCAAGGCTTGAATGGCGGGCAAGCGACGCGCCGCACGACGCTGAACCTGCCGAGCGGCGAAGACGCAACCATTCCTCCCGCAAGCACGCACGCACGCACACACGCACGCACGCACGCACACGCAAACACAAACATACACACGCATACAGGCATACATACATACAGACATACATGCGTACATCCATCCATCCATCCATCCATATATATACACAACATACATACATGCATGCATACATGCATACATGCATGCATGCATGAACGTATGCATGCATACACATACATGCATACCTACACATACCTACATACCTATACACATGCATGCATGCATGCATACATATACGAGTGCATTCATGAACGCATGCATGCATACAAGCATACATGCATGCATGCGTACACACATGCATACATACACACATACATACGTGCATACATACATGAATGCAGGTACATATACATACATACGCACATATGCACATATGCATGCATGCATGCATGCATGCATGCATGCACATATATATATATATATATATATATATATATATATATGTATATATGCCTATATACATGCATGCGTACATGCATACATCACTACACACATCCACATAATATATGTGTACTTGCATGCATGCACGCATGAATGCATACATCGCATACATCAATACGTCCGTCCATACATCCTTCCATCCATCCAACCATACATACATTCATACATGCACACATAATTACACACATCAATCCTTCCATCCATACATCCATCCATCCTTCAAGCCATACACACATGCATATATACATACATGTCGGCGGTGCCCGGTGCGGAGCGAACCCCTCCCTGGTAAACTCCATCCTGGGGGGGTTCGAGCTGGCGGCACCGCCGGTGCGAGCCGGCACGAAACCCCCCGGTAAGCACAAACCCCCCTGGCACGAAATTCCCCAGTAAGCACGAAGCCCCCACGGTATGCACGAAGCCCCCCGGTATGCACGACTGGCTCGACTGGAACCCAAGGTTGTTCCAATACGCCAGACCTCCACAGAGAACCCCCCACCCCACTCGCACCCCCGCCCCACCCCCACCCCCCACTCCCACCCCCCCACTGCCACAGGGGGGGGGGGGTCCAGGTCGAAGCACCCCCCAGTGCGGCCTGCACGAACCCCTCCGGTAAAGGGACAGGGGGGGGTTCTGAGCCGTCGGCGGCACCCAGTGCGGCCTGCACGAAACCCACCGGTAGTACTGGGAGGGGGTTTCGTGCCACGGGGCACCGCCGACATACATGCATGCGCACATACACAGACATACATACCTACATACAGACATACATGCATACATACATATACATTTGGACACACCTACCTGCATGCATACATGCATGCGTGCATACACACATGCATATATACATACATGCGTGCGTGCATACATACGTAACTACATACGGACAGGCAGACAGACAGACAGACAGGCAGGCAGGCAAACAGACAGACAGACAGACAGACATACATCATGCATGCATCCATCCATACGAATACTCTCTCACACATACGCATATAGACATGCAAACGCCACTGCATACGTACATACAAGCAGACATTCATTCGCTCATGCATTCATTCACGTTTTCATTCAGTGGCATACTCGCATCCATACATAGGCACATACATGCAACATTACGTACGTGCATACATACATAGAGCCATTCATTAATTTAGCATGTGACCAATCATTCAGTCATTCAGGCACACCTGCATACATCCACACAACCATAGGTACCTACGTACATACATACATACCTACATACATGATGACAGTATGTTTTACTTATGAAAAACATACGTACAGGCATACATCCACACACGCATACACACAGACCTACATATATACATACAACACCCAACCGTACAAAGTCTCTCGGCAAACTGGCGACAGGAGAATCTGAACACGAGAGGGTTTCGAAGATGGGGCATCTCGAGAAGCCTCGCGGAAGCCATTTTGCAGGCGCCCGAACGACGGGCGAGGTGCCTCGGTGGCGGACTGCCACGCAACTCGCCGTCCTTCCTTGAGGCTGGCCAACACATCTGATTAGCTTACGCGCACAAGAGGCGTAAGGGCTTGCCGAAAAATCATACTCTCATGAAATTCATGTCCAAGGAAACGGAGGAAAAGGGTGGCGAGGGGCGAGAGAAAAGATGCGGAGACACTTCCCTGAGGCCTATAGGGCGCAACCACTATATGCAACCCGACCGTCCAATGTGTCTCGGCAAACTGGCGACAGGCAGGCAGAGCTCAGCCCGAGAAGGCTTCGAAAATGAAGCATTTCGAAAGGCCTCGCGGGAACAATTTTACCGGCGCCCGAACGGCGGGCGAGGTGCCCGGGCGGACTGCCACGTAATTAGCTCGCTGGCCTTCTTTGAGACCAGCCCGCCGTCCTCGGCTCCTGCTACGCGCCGTTCCCGCGGCGCCCGCCAAGGGCGCGAAACTCGGCATCGATGTCGAGCCCGTCCCAAATCGAGCTGGTCGGCCCTCTCCCACTCGAGCCGCGCGTTCCGCAGGGCCGCCGGGGGCGCCGCGAGCCGCTCGAACTTGTCACTGCCGTCGACTGCTCGCAACTCTTGCTCCCAGAATGCATCTAGGACGGGTCTGTCTGGCTCACGCCAGCGCCGCGTCGGCGCGGCATCGCAGAGCACGCGCGACACAGCTCGGCAGAGCCCAGGGGGACGCGCGGCAGCCAGTGGCGCGCGCCACCGTCAGCCCCAGCTCGGGTGGCGCATCAAGGTTCTATCAAATGTAGTTCAGGTGTAGATCAAGGGTGGTTCAAGCGTAGCCCAAGCGTAGTTCAGAATATTTATGATAAGTGATTCAAGTACGGATCTCGTGTGATGCAAGTGTCTCTCCAGTGCGGTTCCAGCGTAGCCCTTGCAGTTCGAGTGTAGACCAAGCCTAGTTCAAAAATGGCTCAGGTGCATCCTGAATGTAGTTCGCTTGCGTTTCAATTGTAGTTCAGATGTAGATCAAAGGTGGTTCAGGTGTTGCCCGTGTAGATCACGTATATATCAAGTGCAGCTCAGATGTAATCAAAGTGCATTTCAAGTATAGTTCAACTGTAGTTCAATGTGCTTCAAACGTACCTCAGGTGTGCTGTCCATGTGTATAATGTACAAGAACTCCAGCTCGTGAACATGTCAGGTGCGGTTCACGTCGAGTGCAATTGTGTTTAAGAGTGTAGCCCAAGTAGCGCTCAAGCATTTCGAAACTATGCTCAAGTGGATTCCAAGTGTGGTTCAGGCGACGCCCGTGTAGTTCAAATGTACTACAAGTGTGGTTCAAGTGTGGTTCAGGTGTCGCTCCAGTGTAGTTCAAGTAGAGTACACATGTGATTGAAATATATGTCGGATGCAGTGCAAGTGCGGCTGAAGCGTTGTACGCGCTGTCGAAACGAAGTTTTTTTCAAGTTCGACCCATATGCAAACCCGATGCAGTTCGAATGTAAGTCAGGTAGGTTTCAGATGCAGACAACGCGTAGGCCAAGCGTGTTGCAGAAGCAAGCCTTGTAGTTCGAGTGTGATGCAATCGTGTTTCGACTGCAGATCAGGTGTGCTTCACATCTGGTTCAAGGGTAGTTCAACTGAAACTCAAGTGTGGCTCAAGTGCAGCTCGGGTGTAGACCGTGAAATTAAACTGTAGTCCAAGGGCAGTACAAGTGCACTTCTAGTGTGTTTCAATTTTATCCCGAATGTAGTTTAAATGAAGTTCCTGCGTAGTGCAGGTGTGAATAAGGTGAAGCCCATGGTAGTTCAAGTGCAGTTCAAGTGTGCTTGAACTGTAGATCAAAAGTGGTTCACATGTGTCCCAGTGTAGCTCAAGTGGAAACCAAGTGTAGGTCACATGTACTTCACATCCACTTCCTGAGTAGCCCTTGTTATACACACGCAATGCGAACGTAGTTAAAATTTGGTCAGATGTAGTTCACGCGTCGTTCACGCGTAGCCCAACAGCCGTTCAAGCGTCGCTCGCTTGTATTCCATGTGGACCCAGTGAAGTGCTAGTGAAATTCGAATGTAATTTCAGAATGGCTCACACGCGTCGCGCATGTACTTCCCGTGTAGTTCAAGTGTAATTCAAGTGTATTGCAAGCGCCGTCCAGGTGCAGCCCCTGTAATTCAAATGTCCTTCAGAGCTAGTTCACGCCCGGTTGAAAGAACATTCAATTATAAACAAGGTACGCCTCAAGTATAGCCCCGTTGCAATGTGCGCGGCCCCGGCGTAGCCAGTGCAACTCAAATCTTTGCGCGGGGCAGTTCATGGACAGTCGACACTTTACTTCAAACATGCGTCAAGCCAGGTTCCATTCAGTTCGAGTGTAGTTCAAGTGTAGTTCAAGCGTCATTCAAGTACGGTGCGGTTGTAACCTGTTCAGTTCAACGGCAGATCTACTGTAGGTCAAGTGCAGTTCATGCGTAGCGCAGGTGTAGTTCAAGAGTGGCCGTGGTGGAGACAGTGTTGTTCACTCAAAATCAAAACTATCTAAAGTGTAGTTCAGGTGTAATACAAATGCTGTTCATGTGTGGTCCCACTGCAGTGGAAGTGCGGCTCGGTTGTGAACCATGTGGTGGAGGTGAAGTGCAGGTGCACTCCGGATGTAGTTGGAGGTTAGTTCCTGCGTAGTTCAAGTGTACTCACATGCAGTCAGGTACACACCTTCTAGTTCGGAGTGTAGTTCCAGCGTAGTTGAAGCGTGTCTCAGGCGCGGTTCAGATGCAGCGCACGCGCTGCTCAAGCGTAGCTCAAGCGCAGCGCACTTCAAGGGCACTTTGACTGCAACACGACATGGGACGCACCGCAACACCGCGCAGTACCGCGCGGCGCACACGGCCAACAACACGGATCCCGAATCGGGCAGCGTCGCCTCGCATCCCCGCGCGAAACCGCACTGCGCGGCACAACGCGGCGCCGCGAAGAACAACGCGCCATGTTGGAACGTCATCTGTGTGACACGTGCGAGCACGAATTGGTCATGACACGCGCGCGTGCTCGCCGCTATATGAATAGAAGTGGCGGCAATGCGACGCCGCTCCGCACTGGCGCCGCATCGCGCTCTCGCGCGCAAGCGCATCTAGCGGGGCGCTCAACTCCCCCTTCACATTCGGCGGCAACGGTTTCCGCGCAACCATCCGAATTGAAACCGCTTCAACATTGCCCGCGCACCCGCGACAAATTAGCTTATTAGCACGCGCCTCTCGTTGAGTCGCGAGCGACTTTCGGCCGCCGAGCAGCCCCGTCACGGCGCGGCGAGTGGCGCCGCGCGGCGCGAATCGATGAACAAGGCTGCAGATGGCACGTCAAAAGGCGCAGGCTTGTTTTCCCTATGCTTCGGCGATAGAACTGTCGATTTTGGTAGTCGTATCACTATGACGGAAACAGGTGCGCGTGCATCCGCTCTGTACGATGGATGCATTGGTGTGCGCTGTTGTTCTACCCTAAGATAGCGTGCGCCGCATCTCCGTGCCCGCCCACCCCTGGGTCACCTCCACCAGGCCCGCGCCTTCCAGGGGAGCCCCCAGGCCCACTCGGCCCCAACTTCTCTCAGCTCGCCAACCACTCCTAACTAACTGAAAAGACCTGGCCTTCAGCCCGACTCTCATCTTCTGACCTGGCCCCTGACTGAGAATGCCGACCGCTGGCTCGATCAGGTCGAAATGGCAGCAATCATCGCCCCCCTCCTCCGTCGCCGCCATGCGGGCTGAGGCCCCCCCCTGGCCCGCGGCCTCCCGCAGCGGGTCTGAATTCCCCCGGGCTTCGCAGCGGCCCAGGCAACCGTCGCAGTCTGGCTCGTCGAGCAGAAAAGCCCCGGCAGCCCCGCGTTGAATGCATCGCACTCAGCGGCCCCCGCCCTCGAGGCGGCGATTGACCCGCTGGGTTTCCATCGCCCTTGGCCTTTCTTCAGACGGTCTCGACGCGCGCCCCTGGTCTCTTATTTCTACGTTCCGCACTTCCCCGTGCCGCCTCCACGCCCCGCCCCTTTGCCGGGCCGCGTCGGCCTCGGCCCTGCAGGCCACCTCCTCGAAGGGTGTCTCTCGCGTTCTGGGTTCGCGCCTCGCCGCGCGGCGCCTCGCCCCGACGGCGCCCGCTCGTGGCCCCATGTCGGGTGCATGTATCTCTTGCCCCTGTGAACTGCCACGCGGACCTCTTGCTCGGGCCCCCGGCGCCCCCCCCGTCACTCCAGGTAGACGCGCGCGGCGCTGCCGCCAGCTGTCGCCGATGCCCCCCCGCACCCGAGGCGGCGCATGCTGCGCCCGACATGCTGCGCAACGGACGACATTGCCGCAGCTCGACGGGCGCTGCTCGCACTGTCCGCCCGCGACAGATGGCCCCGCAAATTGGCGATCCGCGCCTTGTCGGCTCTGCCCCATCTTTGCTCGCCCAGTCCAACGGCGACCGCATCGCCCCTCCAGACCTGAGTCGCCTTCTGAGCCTCGAGTTCCATCGCCCGAAACTCGCGGCCCCCGATGGAGATGGCCTTTTTGGTTTTGGCTTGGGCCATTTCGACGGGTCGGGCAGCCTGCTCGGCCCCGCACCTGCCGCGAGCACAGAAATTGCGTTCTAGGACGCACCACTGCTGTTCAGTCGCGCGCTTCGCCTCGCGACCCCTGCCAACCTCAGCCCGGAAGCGCCCCGCCCCAGCCCGGGCCCAGCCCCCGGCAACTTCGAGCCCAACTCTCGTTCGGGCTTTTTCAGCGGCGCCAGCGCTAGATGCGTCCAACTGTGGCGCTCGGCGTTCATAGTTCCCTTCCGTCCTCAGAGTTTTGGCACGGACCCCCTTTGTCGGGCCGCGTGCCATTCCGAGCTCCAGAACTCAACGCAGGTGTGATTGGCCGGGGGACGCGCCCATCGCACCACGGAAAATCCCCGACGCGGACGCGAACGCCCCCGCCGCGCCGACTGGGCACCCCCCTGACTCGCCCAGGCGCAGAGATTCCACCGCACCCCAGCGCTGCGGCGCGGGATGCCAGCAGACGTTCTGCACCGGAATCTCACGCTGACGGCTGAGATGCTCGACCTGACGGGCCCGCCGCTCCATCGCCTAGCTGGCGCGCTTCCCATCGCGACGGTCGCTCCGGGCTCGGGCCACATGGCTTTGTTCCGAGGTTATCTAGGAGGCGCTCGACGCATCCCTTCTCTGCCGCACTGTCTAACAAGGGTAGTGGGAACATCTCCTCCGGGCAGTCCGTCGCATTCCAGCTGGGCGGACATTACCCTTCGGATGCGAGCGACAGACGGCTGATCGTTCTCGAACTCTCGCGACTGCGACGGCACTGGCCAGCGATGTCTCTTTGCGCCACGCGCGCGACCTCATCGAGCTCGCCACCTTCCCTCATTCTCCTCGACTGGCGAAGCCCTTCCCTCGGACCTCGGATTGCCGCCCCCCGTGCGCCCGTGCGGTCGACGACGGACGGCCCGCTCAAATCTGACTCCTTCGCGAAGCGCACTCGGCGGGGATCTGGAGTAGTCTCTCGGTGACTCCTCGCAACTCCGACGAACCAGAATTCAAATATGAACAAATTCTTTCTTCCTCGGGAGAAGGACTCTGAAAAAAGAAGGTTCGCTGGCACTCGATTCCCGGAGGATCATACCAGCGAGATCGTTCAAACTCTCTTCTGGTCTTGCACTCCCACTGATAGCCACATTGCATATGCGAAGGAAGCCGCCGTCCGGCGCAACGCATGAGACATCCGATCGTTTCTCTCAGAGCTTTCGGCAGGTGACGAGCACGCCCAATGTGATGTATACTCCCCAGTACTATCCTAGCTTCGGGTTGATTTCAAGGGAAAAAAGGCACTGTGCATGATATGCCCCTTCGTGTTGATCGAAGACAAGGGGGCGATGTGTGCACGCTCGCGGGCGCACATTTTTTCCGATTACAGCGGCACGGGCTCGCCCACCAGATCCTTTGAAGTGCAAGGGTTATTTGGCCAGACGCCCGCAACAGCAGGTGGATGGGTGACTTCATGACGCAGGCAAGTGTGGATGTTATCGACTCAGAAAAACCTAGCCCCAGCTTGCTTAGAACCCCCCCGCTTTCTCAGAAGGTTGCCCCCCACGCGCCCCCACCCCCGTGTCGGGGAAACGTCAGACTCAGATTCGGGGGACTCGCGTTGGCCAGACGGGGCCGTCAGGGGAATGACCACATCCGGTCTAAAATTTGACGCGAGGTCCCGCTGCGCAAATCACACGGCAACTGACCGTCACAACTCCAGGCGTGCCGCCAAAAAGCGTAGGCAGACCCGAGCTCTGGCGAACTCCACTCTTACGTTTCCCTGACAGTGCGCGCTAACAAGCCGAACGCAAGAGAGACCACCCCAGGCAAGCATGACCTCTAGTACGCGGCTTCAGGTGACCCCACGCGGGCCACACCAAGGCGCGCAAGGCCGGTGCTGAGTGGACCCCTGCTCGGGCGTTGGCAGGACTGGGTTCAGTGGGACCTGACTTGGTGATGTGTACTGGGGGAGGCCCCCCCCGCCCCATTCCACTAACCAGAGCTGCCGCCAGCCGACGAAACACCACGTACCGCAGACGTGGTTTCGCGATTCTGGTTCATGTTCGCCACATTCGACCTGCGGGCACGCACCACAAATCAGCCGACAAACGCCCCCCCCCGCCCCCGCAAAGGGCGCACCGGCAGCAGTGGCGAAACCGGCTCTGCCGCGCCCAGCGGGCCGTAAGGATCCGCGAGAGGCCTCCCCGCGGGCGCGGTGGGGGGGGGAACGGCAGGGAGACGGGCGGGGAAAGGGACGGGGAGAAGTAGGCCGAAAGGCACCTGTCGGGCTGGATGGGGAGAGGGAGGCGGGGAAGGAGGGGAGGAGGGGCATGGGGAGGCGAGAGGGGCAGGGAAGGAAGGCGAACCAAATCCGTTCGCGCCATATCTTACGAACGCCCTTTTCCTTCCACCCATCCCTTCCCATTGCACTGTTTTTAAATATATCCGCCGACGGGTGTCATAGCGGACGTGGACATTGGATGCGCATTCACAGAAAGGGGGCTTCGTAAATTGGAGGAGGAGGAGGACGAGGAGGAGGACGAGGAGGAGGAGGAGGATCAGGAGGTAGGACGAGGACGAGTAAGAGCAGCAGGAATGGGAGAAACGCAAGGAGCAGAATGACCAGGGGAAGGCATAGGATGGGAAAGGCGCGGGGCGACAACAATGAGGAAACACACTGCTACAGGAAAGGGGTCCGCTGCGCGGCGGCAAGAGCGCCATCTTGAACGACGGGGGCGAAACACCGATCCGGAAATGAGGCCAGGGCTTCAACAGGAAAACAATCCCTCCAGCCCTTTGGGCGTAGGTGGTCTAGAGTGTTTCCTCTGTTACCCCTCCTACTTCCCCTTCGGGGAGGGGTTTACCCCTCCCCCTACCCCCTCCCCTGGACCTGGATGGGGGGTTCCCCGACGCGTTGGAGCGCCCAAAAAGGCCTCGGCGAGGAAGCCAACATTCATTGGTTTTACTATGCTTTGGGCCCCATTTTGGCCTCCTGGGGGGGAGGCTAATTTAGGACCCCCCCCTCATGTGATCGATCTCCTCCAAGATGGCCCCAAGAGGCCGCCAGGAGGCCCCAAGAGGCACCCGAGATGGCCCCAAGATGGCCCCACGTGCCCCCAAGAAGCCCCCAAGAGGCCCGTAGGATGCCCCCAAGAGACTCCCAAGAGACCCCCACGAGGCCCCAAGAGACCCCCCAGAGACACCCAAGACGCTCCAAGAGGCCTCGGCGAGAATGCCCAAATCATTGATTTTACTAAGGTCTCGGCCACATTTGGGCCTCCTGGGGGGGGGGGCACTGCTTCAGATGACTCCAAGAGCGCCTGGAAGAGCCAAAGATGACCTCCAAGATGGCTCAAGATATCCCAAGATGCCTCAAGATTGCTCCCACGATGCTCCAAGAGGCCCCAAGACCGCTTCAGGACGGCTCCAAGTGGCCAAAGAGCTCCCCCAGGAGGCCCCGGAGATGCCAAAATCCTTCCAAAACCTTAGGGTAATCAATATGTTGGGCTTTCTCGCCTTTTCGCTTCCGATGGCCATCCGAGGCTTCAAGATGACTCCAAGATGAGTACGAATAGTTGTTTGGTTCCAACTCTGGAAGCAGACCGAGTTCGGGCATCTAGATACTTTAGACTAGCGTTTCTACTGATTTCCTTTCGATTGCTGTGACAAACAACTCTGTAGATCATCTGCAGCTCGAGTTCAGTCAAGGCAGCCATCACCATCTCTAAAACAAATGCAGAGCACGAATAGTTGTTCGGACCCAGCTCTGGTAGCAGACCGAGTTCGGGCATCTAGATACTTAAGACTAGCGCTTCTGATGATTTGCTTTACGATGGCTGTGCCAAAGAACTCTGTAGCTCACCTGCAGCTCCAGAAATCTCGAGAAAGTCACCATCATCTCTCTAAAAAATAGCAGGCCCAAGAGGTCTCCAAGAGCGCTCCCAGGGCTCCCAAGAGCGCTTCAAGAGGGCCCCAAGAGGCGCCCAGGAGGCCCCAACAGGCGCCCCAGAGGCCTCCAAGAGGCCCCCAAGAGACCCCCAAGAGGCTCCAAGAAGCTCTCCGAGGCACCCAAGACGCTCTAAGAGGCGTCCAGGACCGCCAAGAGGCCCCCAAGACGCTCCAAGAGGCCCATGCGCCGATGATGTCTCTATCCGCCGACGCGTGTGATAGCGGCCCTGGAACTCCCCGACAAACCCGGAGCGTGTTCTGCGCAGTCGGAGACGAAGTGAGCTGCGTCCATCGGAGGCGCAGGATGAGCAGGAACACGAGCAGGAGAAGAAGGAATAAAACGGAGAAGACGGAGGACCAGGACAAACAGCAACAAGAAGAGCAAGGGTGGACATAACGGGACGAGTAGGAAGGCCGGGGAGAGGCCGCGGAGGGCGATAACGATGAGGCAAGACCTGGATGAAGAAGAAGAGGACCGCACGCACTGCGGCGAGAGAGCCATGCTGAACGGCGGGGGCGGAGCGCCGATCTCAAAATGAGGCCCGCGCTGCAGCGGCCACACCGCTGTGGAGGAGCGAGACCGACCTGATTGTAAGCACATGCTTCAAACATCATTTGAAATCCTGTGCAACAGACAGTACGCGGAGTGGGGCGGACGATTTCCCAGCCGCATTAAGAGAAGGGAGGACAATCGTATTTTGGAAAGGGGAATGGGGGCAGAAGGGATCGTAGGAAAGGGAGGAGAAATGCAATGACGGGATGGGGGAAGAGGGGGGGCAGGGGGGGAAACGGCGAAGGGGGGAGGGGAGGGGAAGACAGGGCGAGGACGAGCAGGGACATGAAAAAGAAGAGGAGGGGAAGGAGGAGGAGGATGGCGTCGAAGACGAAACCAACAATAATAAACCATGATGCGTCAACAAGGCTGCAACGAACATTCCCGCCCCCAGCACCGTCAGAAATCCCGGCACAAGACAGACGCCCCGTTTACCGACGAAAGCCATCCCAAGCGGGAACCTCTTTACGAAAAACTAGCAACCACCCTCTTCCGCGCAAGCGCTGGCACAGTATAACGCCGATGTGCACGAAAGAAAATGTCCGCCGACCCCTTGGGGTCACGGCGTGTGCGATGCTTCCCCCTCCCCCAGGGGCCCAGTCCAGCCCGTTTGGAGGGGGGGGGGGGCAAACGTACCGACCGCACACTCGAAGCCTCAGGAGGCCCCCAAACGGGCCAAAAATGTCCAATAGGGTCCCGGAACGGTCCAAGAAAGCTACGAGTCGACAAGGGATCGTTCCACAACGCCAAGGATTGCCTCCAGACGGCCCAATCAGTCCCCAAGACTCTTGAAAAAAGTACTACGCGAGGCGCCCCACGAAGGTCCAACAGAAGCAAAAACCGTCGCATTCCCTGAGGAAACGTGCATTTTCAGCACATTCGCCTTTTGGGTTCCCACGCGGCCCACAACGGCCCAAGAAGCCAATATCGACCTTCCGCAGCCTCAAAGGCTCCCAAAAAGGCTCCACGACGGCTTCCAGGCGATCCACGAAGGCTCCAAAGACCATAACAACGGCCCGGGAGATCCGCAGGACGCGACCCGTTTTGGAGCCCTCTTGGGGGCCCTGCAGGGCCCCCACAGGCTGCCTAGACGGCCCACGCGGGGGACGATTCGGTCCAAACCGCCAAAGATTGCCTGCAGACGGCCCCAACACATTTGAAAACGCGGCTACGAGGCGTTCCAGAGGGCCTCCAGAAGCCAAAACCGTCCCATTCCCGAGGGAAAACATACATTTTCAGCACGTTCGCCTGTTGGGCTCCCACGAGACCACCAACGGCCCAGTAAACCTCCAAGTTCGACCCCCGACACCCCAAGAGGCTCTCAAAAAGGCTCCACGACGGCTTCCGGGCGCACCACGAAGGCTTCAGAAACCACAGCAACGGCCCAGGACAGTCGCAGGACAGCCCCACGAGAGCCCCGCAACGGGCCAAGACGGTCCCCAAAGGCCTTCTGGACGACCCACGAGGGGGACGATTCGGTCTCAACCGCCCCAGCTTGCCTGCAGACGACTCCCCATAGGCCACAGGACCCCGAGACGTTTGAAAAAGCAGCTACTACGAGGCGCTCCACGAAAGCCTCCAGAAACCAAAACAGTCCCATTCCCGAAGGAAAACATACATTTTCAGCACATTCGCCTCTGGGGCTCCCACGAAGCCTACAACGGCCCAAGAAGCATCCAACATCGACCGCCTACAGCCCCAGAGGCTTTCAAGAAGGTTCGAAGACGGCCTCCGGGCGCCCCGCGAAGGCCCCGGCAACCATAGCAACGGCCCTGGAGAGCCGCAGGACGGTCCCAAGAGGGCCCCAAGACGGGCCAAGAGGGTTCTTAAAAGGCCTCCTGGTCGGCCCAAGTCGTTCAACACTGCCCCAAATCGTCCCACATTGCATCCCGAGAGCCCTACAGGCCCCCAAGACGCCTCAAGACGCTACCCAGAGGCGTCCCAACAAGCCTTCCAGAAGCAACAGCCGTCCCTTTCTCGATGGAAACACATTTTTCCGACATGTCCGCCTCTTGGCCTTTCATGCGGCCCCTGAGACAGACCCCTTGCACGCCCCAACACGCCATCATGACGCGGCCCAAGAGGCCCTCCACAAAGCAACCATCGGCCCGTTCCCAAAGAGAACGTTCAAGTTTAGCACATTCGCTTCTTGGCCTTTCACGAAGCCCACAACAACCCAAGAAGCCCCCAAATCACCGAGGCGGGCCCCAGGGCGGCCCCAAGGGGCTTCCCCGACGGCCCCAAAAGCCTACGAGTCGTGAAGAGATGGCTCCAAGACGTCCGACATTGCCCCTGGACGGCCTCGGAAGCCCCCTGGCACGCCCCGACACGCCACCAGGACGCGTCCCAAGAGGCTCCCAGAAGGAAACCTCGGCCCGTTCCCTAAACACGAAACGCCCAAGTTTAACACTTTCGCTTCTTGGCCTGTCACGCGGCTCACGGCAGCCCAAAAAGCCACCCAAATCAACCCAAGGAGACCCCATATCCCTCCAAGAAAGTTCCCAAACGGCCCAAGAAGGCCCCAATAGAGCCCTCGAATCCACCAAGGAAGACTCCAGGACGGCCCCGCGAAAAAGGTCAGGGGAAACCCGAATCGAGAATTCGAGCACTACGGGGCCCCTGCGGGGCTCCACAATGCCCCCGAGAGACCCCGGGACCCGGAGGCGGCACTTCGACGACGAAATCCACGAAAAACCTGG